TAATATAATATAATATAATATAGTTGTAATATTTTAACAAATAATACTATAATTATACTAATAATTCTAATATAATTATTTTCATTATATTAATAATAAAATAATAATTAATATAATTACATATTAATATAATCTTATAATTCTAATATAATTATCCATTATAGTGTATTACACATTACATGATGTATTAATTAATGTATATTTATTGTATATAATATAATAATAATTATATATTATATTGTAATTATATATATATTCTCAAATTCAGACTCATACACCTTAAGAATAAGTTCGACAATTTTCTCATTATTTATTAAAAGCGTAAGCTTTATTTGGTAAATAAGTTCGAAGCTTTTGTGGTTTGAACTTTTTTTTTGTTTGAAATGAAGGATGCGTTTGGAACTCGTTCTAAAATGATTTTATTTTTTGTATGAAAATGGAAATAAAAACATTTTCAATCTCAGACAAAAATGATTTTTAAAAATGTGTTTGATAGTTTTATCAAGTGATTGTTTTCAGTATAAAAAAATCCATCAATGTCTCGCTCTCTCTCTCTCTCTGCTCGATAGAGGAGAAAACAGAAACAAAAAATGAAAAACGACTAAAAGTCATTTTTTCATTTCTCTCCAATTTTACACTAAACTAAAAAATCATTTTCATTTTCGTTTTTTGTCTTTAATTGTACCAAACGTTGTTTCTCTCCTGTTTTCATTTTTTCTTAAAAAACGTGAAAATAAAAATAAAAACAACTCCAAACACAGTCGAAAAGTTTGAAAATATGTTTTGAACTTATATTTAAAATGATGTTTGAATATGCAGTTCATTATAGCTTTGAGAAGGGAATAACAATTAAAATTGTGGTTAGCTCATGTTGTAACAAGATAAGATTGTTATAAAACTGATTTTTGGAACAAAATCACTATAATATGCAGTTCATTATAGCTTTGGTTGCATTATAAAACTGATTTTATAGAACAAAATCACTATACAAATTGGGTTCAAAATTCTAAAATTAGGAGGAATTTCTAAAATAGACCTACAATCTAATCAAAGGTTTAAAATAAACCTTGAAAACACTGACTCGGCTACAATTTTGGGTTTAAAATGACTATAAGTTACCAAACATGCTATTAAGGATGAATTATAGAAATATAAAATTTAGGGTCCGTTTAGAATGTATATTTAAACTATAATTCTTAATTCTAACGTTTAAAATTTAAATTTTTGTGAGAAGCTATAGCAGAATCAATAATTTGAATTTGAGTATATGAAATAAACATGCCTTCAAATATTGTACATTTTCATGTCAAAACAGTACAAGTGAATTACTACACTTCAAAAGTGATATACAAACTGTAAAAAGTGACATTTTTTATATGTACATTTTCATTATTCAGGGGGAATATGTGTTATATTTTAAAGATCATGAGATAAAATGTTACAAATGTCATAATAAGGGGAATTTATATAATCTAATAAAAAAAAGTTCCGTACCAAAGAAACAAGAACGAAATGTTAAAAACGATAGTTATTTGTTAACATGTCTTTTAATATTATTCATATAATTATTCATAATAAATGTGCATGACAGTTATTTGTTGTTATATGCTTAAAAACTTTTAATTCTCAAAATAATAATTGTTACAAGTGATAATAAGAGAATTATGATAATTCTTCAGTCGGCTACAATAGCACATGGGGACAGGTCCACTCATTTACAAAGTGAGGGTTATAGTGAGGTCCTTTATATATATATATATATATATATATATGTGTGTGTGTGTGTGTGTGTGTATGTATTTCTTTCAAATATATGGCCATTTCTATGTTTCCACAATACTTTTATGGGGAAAATTTCCTCAATCGTAACTGGTTGAAGGATTAGTGTAACTATTTGAATGATTGACGTAATTTTTTTGTATTGAGTTGTAACAGTTACTATTTTGAGAATCATAAGTTATTTTTAAACATACGACAATAAACAACTGTCATGCACTACTCTAAACAGATCGTCATGTATGACCCGATGTGCATATCAAAAAAATAACATAACAGATGTAATCTTTAACGACAATATTATTTAGGTTTAAAAAATACAGTTGGTTACGATGAAACGACTTATTAGTATCAATAAAAATGATAGTCCTTTATTAATGTGTCTTTCAATATTATTCATATATTTATTTATGACAGTCGTTTATTACTATAGGCTTAAAAACGACTTGTTTCTAAAATAATAACTGTTATGACTCAATACAAGAAAATTGTGTTTAGTTTTTCAGCCGATTATGATGGCACGTGGAGACGAGTCCCCCATTTTTAAACTGGTGGACCATGGGCAAACCCCAAATATTATATATATATATATATATATATCAATTTACCCCTGAACTTTTATGGTTTTATCATTAATTTGTATGGTTTTATCAATTTGCGCTTTAAACCTTTAATTTTAGTAAGTTGCCCTCTCACTTGTAAATTTTTCATAATTTGCCCTATTTTGATAATGAATGTGTTCAATTAGTGTTAAAAAAACAAGTTCGACGAAAAATTTTAATATCCCAATTTCAATGTGACATGAATCTTACAATTTTTTAATTTTTAATCCTTTAAATCTAATAAAAAAATTTGAGCAAATTTAGCCTCCGTTTGGTTCGTTGGTTTGAATTTTATTGGTTTGAACTTTTTGATTTGAACATAAAAATTCAAATTTTGTTGTTTAAATTATAATTTGAATTGACGTTTGGATGTGTGGTTAAAGTTAATTTGAACATGAAATAAAATTTAAATTTGTGTTTGGTAGGTGAGAAAAGCAGAGAGAGTGGACACTTTTACTATTCAAAAATGGTTTGAACGGTTGAATTTGAAGAGGGAGCTAAACTCTAAGTTGGACTGTTTAATTCAGTTCAAGCAGGAAATATAATTTAAACTGCATACTTATTAAATGTCAATTCAAACTGTGCTCACTGTGCAAATTAAGTTAAACTGAACTGAACTAAACTAGTAAAATAAATAATAGCATAGTAAAATGAAACATATTACAATATTTTTGTAAATTAAAATTTTAAATGACAATTTGCTAAATCACATATTTGGCCCTTGTGTTAAAACATTTTAGGCTTATTCTTTTGAGTGAAAAACTCAAAAAAAGGCAACTCGAGTTACAACTTTATTCGAGTTCATGTTCTTTTAAGTTCAAACTCGAGTTTATGACTAAAACTCAAGTTCAAGTTTTCCTTTCAAGTCGAGTTCAAAAACTCGAACTCAAATTAATGAACAATATTTTTTTCTATTCTTAAAAATGCTATAACTTTTTCGTTTTAATTCTAATTGAGATGATTTTTTTTCTATACGTTTTATGGTTTTATCATTAATTTGTATGGTTTTATCAATTTGCGCTTTAAACCTTTAATTTTAGTAAGTTGCCCTCTCACTTGTAAATTTTTCATAATTTGCCCTATTTTGATAATGAATGTGTTCAATTAGTGTTAAAAAAACAAGTTCGACGAAAAATTTTAATATCCCAATTTCAATGTGACATGAATCTTACAATTTTTTAATTTTTAATCCTTTAAATCTAATAAAAAAATTTGAGCAAATTTAGCCTCCGTTTGGTTCGTTGGTTTGAATTTTATTGGTTTGAACTTTTTGATTTGAACATAAAAATTCAAATTTTGTTGTTTAAATTATAATTTGAATTGACGTTTGGATGTGTGGTTAAAGTTAATTTGAACATGAAATAAAATTTAAATTTGTGTTTGGTAGGTGTGAAAAGCAGAGAGAGTGGACACTTTTACTATTCAAAAATGGTTTAAACGGTTGAATTTGAAGAGGGAGCTAAACTCTAAGTTTGACTGTTTAATTCAGTTCAAGCAGAAAATATAATTTAAAATGCATACTTATTAAATGTCAATTCAAACTGTGCTCACTGTGCAAATTAATCAGTTCAAGCAGGAAATATAATTTAAACTGCATACTTATTAAATGTCAATTCAAACTGTGCTCACTGTGCAAATTAAGTTGAACTGAACTGAACTAAACTAGTAAAATAAATAATAGCATAGTAAAATGAAACATATTACAATATTTTAGTAAATTAAAATTTTAAATGACAATTTGCTAAATCACATATTTGGCCCTTGTGTTAAAACATTTTGGGCTTATTTTTTTGAGTGAAAAACTCAAAAAAAGGTAACTCGAGTTACAACTTTATTTGAGTTCATGTTCTTTTAAGTTCGAACTCGAGTTTAGGACTAAAACTCAAGTTCAAGTTTTCCTTTCAAGTCGAGTTCAGAAACTCGAACTCAAATTAATGAACAATATTTTTTTCTATTCTTAAAAATGCTATAACTTTTTCGTTTTAATTCTAATTGAGATGATTTTTTTCTATGCGTTGACAACGAAAAGACGAATAAAACCTGACCCATATACACTATTAAAATTTTTCATCAGCATTGAGTTTTTATTAAAATACTATCTAAATATAAATTCAAATTTTGATTCACTCAAACACAAACTCAAAAATATTTTTATCTTAAACCATAACTTAAATATACACAACTAAATATAAACTCAAATTATAAGTTTAACTCAAGTTATAACTTAAATTTAACTCAAAAATTATATTCAAATTAACGTGCGTTTATTTTTAACTATCTCCCACTCCTCTTGCAAGCTTTCTCTTCTTCTCCTTCTTCCTCCTCTTCTCTCTCGCCTAACCTGTTACAGAACCTCACCTTCTAGAGATCGTCGTCGCCGGAGACACACGAGCCAGAAACGACAGATTTGGCCCAGGGGCTTGCTGGCTTGTCGGTGGCTGTCCGAGAGGGGGCAGTTGGCTCGTGAGACGACTTGGGTGGGTTCGAGGGCGAGGCGGCGCGGCTGAGGGCTCTCTGGGTGGGCGAGATCGCAGCCGGCAGTCCTCCGTCCCAGAAGAAGCAGTAGGCTGAGGCTCTCTTAAGCCGTTTCCTTCGCTCTCTTTCCTTGGAAAGCGCCGGCTTTTCTCTTCAAACGAATAAGCTTCTTCGTTCCCAACTCAGTTGCAGTGTCTAAATAGGTATGAAAAATTTCTTCTGAATTGAATAAGAAAATTGTATTAAATTTTGGTTTTGAATAAAAAATGGACTTTTTATTTAAAATGTCACATCTAATCTATTATTGTTTAAGCATTTCGGAAATGTGTGGGCATTGATTGAAGCTGAAAGAAACAAGAGTTGTATGATGAGATTTTTGGTAGAAATGGAACATAGAAAAGCTTAAGACAGTATGAAATGTATATTGTGCCTAAGCTATATAAGATAAGATAAATGTTGCGGGGTTAATTATGGGAACAATTGTATTTTAGTTCAGCTGTAGCTACTAGTTAACTTTCAGTTATGAGTTATGAGCTAAAACGCCTTTTCTGAGCATATATTATTATGGTCCATTTTTTGTCTTGAAAACCATTCAACATTTGAATCTTTTGTGCTTTTGGTGACCAGGATATTGGGATTAATGAAGCTTTTCAGCCGTCAGCAGAAGTTCCGTAGTTGCATGAATCCTTGAATTTTAATGAGAGGATGCTCCTGATGTCAGGACTAAAGTTGTTTAATCGACTTGGTCGGGTCACTCAGAAGAGCACCTCAACTGTTAATTCAGTTCTTAGATCATTTAGCCACCGCAATCCATCATCTGAAACTAAAATTGAGATTGAAAGAATTACTAGAATTATAAATGACCATCCTTTTCCTGATCAACCTCTCCAACCTACCCTTCTCCAACATATCCCGCTAGCTGTCCTTTCCAACACTTTTGTGGAGAATGTTCTTGGTCGCCTCTTTGCAGCCCATTCCAATGGCCTTAAAGCCCTTGAGTTCTTCGAATTTTCCCTCCGCCATTCACAGTTCAGTCCGAGTGCAGATGCCTTTGAGAAGACATTGCACATCCTTGTACGGATGCGTTATTTTGAAAAAGCTTGGGAGTTGATGGCAACAATTGGAAGAGAACACCCGTGTTGCCTTACGCTAAAGTCAATGAGCATCATGTTGTCAAAGATTGCAAAGTTCCAGTCTTATGAAGACACACTTGCAGCTTTTGAAAAGATGGAGAATGACGTTTTTGTTGGGAAAAAATTTGGTACAGATGAGTTTAATATTCTTCTTCGAGCTTTTTGCACACAGAGGCAGATGAAGGAAGCGCGCTCTGTGTTCCGAAAGATGTACTCCAGGTTTTCCCCTGACAAAAAGAGCATGAATATATTGCTCTCGGGTTTCAAGGAGTCGGGAGATATTACGGCTGCAGAATTGTTCTATCATGAGATGGTCGCTAGAGGTTTTAGGCCAAATGTTGTGACTTATAACATCAGAATTGATGCTTACTGTAAGGCAGGATGCCTTGGCGATGGTCTGAGACTTCTTGAAGAAATGGAACAGGCCAATTTCTCTCCGACTTTAGAAACAATCACTACTTTGATACATGGAGCTGGAATTGCTCGAAATCTAATCAAGGTGCAGCAATTATTTCAGGAGATCCCTTTCAGAAACTTACATCCTGATACTGGGGTTTATAATGCCTTGATGAGTTCGCTTATTAGATGTAAGGATTTGAAGTCTGCAGTTGCGTTAATGGATGAAATGGAGGAGAAACATATCGACCATGATTATATGACCTATCACATCATGTTCTCTGGAATGATTAAAAAAATGGACTTCGAGGGTGTATCTCACCTATTTGACAAAATGGTTCAAAACAATTTTGTTCCTAAAACACGAACTGTGGTTATGCTAATGAAGTTTTTTTGTGCAAATTCTCGTGTTGATTTGGGTTTGTATTTATGGGAGTATTTGATGGGGAAAGGATATTGTCCTCATGGTCATGCGTTGGAGCTTTTGTTGACGGGACTGTGCTCTAGAGGTTTCGTGAAAGAAGCTTTTGAGTGCTCAAAACAAGTGCTGGAGAGAGGGAGGCATTTGAGTGAAGCAGCATTTCGATTGATAGAGAGGCGTCTATTACAAGAAGGAGAGAAGGATCAGTTGAGGAAGCTTAATCAGATGATTGATAAATTACGTACCCATTTGCCTCCAATTACAGAGAAAATGCTATAAGTATCCTGGCTGCTCCGACAATGTAATGGCTCCATTTTTAAGCACGTAATTTTGATTTCATTCTAGTCACCGAAAAAAAGGTTTGATTTCATTGTATTTGAATTCATTTAAAATTTTGCAAGTGTATATAGGAAAATTAGAATACAAATTTGATTCTTTATTTTGTTGGGTCTGATTTTGATTAAATTAGGCATCGATGGAAGCATTAATTGAAATTTTACCTTTACCAAGTTCACTTATTGATGGGGATCATGTTAAAATAGGATTATTTGGGATTGATTTCCTCGATTGGGGAATTGATTTGGTTGATTGGGATTGATTTTCAAATAAACTGAGATCGATTTTTTATTCTGTTCTTATGCATTTAATTTAGTTTCCTATTTTTATTATGTAATTAGCCTATGAAGTGGCTTCTTTGTTAGAAGGGAATTCAGACTATTATGATACTCTACCCTACTTTCTCCTCTTCTCCCCTTTCTAAATCCTTAATTCCACTTCTATTTCCCACTCATTCTCTAAATTTCCCTCTCTTCTCTTCTCTATTCCCTTTCACTCCCTAATTCTGCACCACTGATGGTTAACTTTAAACTTAACTCTTGCAGGGATTTGATCTATATAGTTTCCTTGTAGTTAGGTATTGCTTTGTTGCTAATCTGGTGCTTTTGTTTGTGTTCTTTTGTCCCTAGCTACCTTGAAGCACTTGAGGAAATATGAAGAGATAGCGGGCTTTGGATTCTTCATCACCTACAATGATCCTTACGTTGTTAACAAAGTTATTGAAGGTGGCACCCGCCGCAATCCTTACAGAACAGGTATTTTTATCCGTCTTGCGTAGATTTTTTTGTAATTCTCCCCATATTTTTAATCTTTACTTTTAATTTAAAAAACTTCAGTTGTTGCGTCACTAAGGACCCGTTTAGTTCGCTGATTCGAGTTTTTAATTCGAGTTGAGATGTGATTTTATGTGAGAGCTTTTTACTGTAACAAAAAAGTTAGATGTGATTTGAGTTTAGAATTCGAGTTTTGCTACAGTAGAAAGCTCTCACAAACAATCACATTTAACTTTTTTACTACAGTAAAAAGCTCTCACATAAAATCACATCTCAACTCGAATTAGTGAACTAAACGGGCCCTAAAAATTCAGATCCGCTAACTGGAGAAGGCCTTACTCTCTCTTCTATCTCTCTCTAGAAAACCATTTATGAAAACTCACATATATTCCCAAATAACCATGAAAATTTTCGTCAAAAGAAATCGTGAAACCACATAAATCCCCAGAGACCCAAATAACCAGCCACCACAAAGTCAAACCCCATCACCTTCACTGGCCAATGTTACTGTTCTGCAACACTGGCCAATGTTACTGTTCTGCAATTTTCTTTTCAAATCCCTCACATAAATAGTATTCCTTAACATCGGGTCCTCAAGAAATCGTCTTTGCTAACGCACCAAAAAAACCGAATCTCAGGTCCTCAAGAAACTCCATGACTTGTTGTTTAGTTCATCAATCTCTCTCTCTCATTTTTTTAAATGAAATTCATCAATTTCTTTATTTCAACATTTTGTTTATTCTCTTTTTTTTTTTTCAAGAGCATGAGAGGGTTTTTTTTCCTCAGATGAGTAAGGTTCTTTTTTTCTTTTTTCTTTTTTTTTTTTTTGTGGCCGAGAAAGATGTGAGAGAAATAGAAAAGAAAAAAGGTTTTATTTGTTTATATGGCTGGTACTTAGACGACCTTATTCGAATGACCTCCTTACCATCGAACTTGCAATATGATTATTGATGCGCGTACATCATTGCATGCTCTTATCTTATTAGCATTTATGACAATGAAATCTTTACTTCTATTAGTAATTTATGTATTTATCATTAGCAAATTTGTAATTGGGGTGTGACTAATTAGACCTCTATTTGCAAAGTTTTCAAATTCAATTCAAAGGTATACAGCCCAATATACCAGTGATGCTGGACATATTTGCAAAGAAATTACAGTACGCAGTATAAATTGGTAAATGTAGCCTTAAATAATTTTAGGTGAACACTGAACAATGCTAGGGGACCAGTGGTTTCTAAAATTACACATTAATAGAAGGTGAGTATCTTATGAACCCATTAGGTAGAACTCATCCTTGCAAAACTGACTTATAAGGGGAGGAAGCTCAAAGGCTTATAAACCTATTGTTTTGTCTTATAAGCATTCAATGTGGGACTTTTGGTATCGAATAAGTGCCCGACCACACAGATAGGATTTATCTTCTATTAGTTGTGGTGTTAAGCATCATTAGTATCTCAAAGCATTTTTCATTTTCAGATTTAGCAGTTTGAGAATGAATACTGTTGCACTAGAATGCGTAGGTGTGGCAGTTGAACAGGACTTCTGTGTGGGAGAGAAGTGGGGCTAAGTGCATCACAATGCCATATGGCATCTCATGCACTGTTACATGTAATTGCATCGTAATTAAGATTTTTAAGTGTCATTTAGTTCATAAATTTGAATATAAATTTAAATTTTTGTAAGAGAGAACACTGTAGTAAAAATATTTAAATCACACATTAGTATTTTATTTCCTTAGACATGGCTATCTTACCGGTATCATTAAGGCTAACTGCTAAGTTGTTTTGTTGTAGGTTCGAAATAATGCATCAGTCACACCGCATGCTCCTACATTTCTTTGGTTGGTTAATTGGTGGAGGTGTTGTTAGTCAGGACGTCAAGTTATTCATTTATCTTTCTTTTGTCTTTTTTTTGTTGAAAGCCTTCTTTTGTGTCGTGTATTATTTCGAATATATGATGCATGAATAAAAACCTTCAGAAATAGTACTAGATTCCCTGACGCCTTTCTCACTCGGTTCTCCTTTTTATTTATTATTATTATTATTATTTTTTGGGTGAAAGAAGAGGACACTGTGTTACCTCCTTTGGAGATTGAGGACAGGTCACAACATATGCTTCGTTTTTTACCAAAAATAAGCTTTTGTTTCCCACACTTCACAGAGGAATCACATTACTGCCCAAATGTTTATTTTGCTATAGCTTTTGTCCCCTAAAGAATTAATATTGAATTTCTGTCCTGAGACTGCTTGGTCCAACAGCATCGGGGCAGGCAGGGGGGTGGTGGTGTTTCAAGAGAGATTGCGCATATATATACTTTACAACTTCTGACCCTTAGGATCTGTTTGGAAACGTTTTTAAAATGATTTTATCTTCAATATAAAAGTGAAAATGAGATTGTTTTGAGAATTATTTTGAGACTGATTTTAAAATTGTGTTTGGTTGTTTTTTAAGAGATTGTTTTGAGTATAATAAAAAAGTGAAATTATGTTTTGTTATAATTATTAATTAATATATTATAGCATTGTTGATAAGTATTAGAAAATGAAAACATAAAAGGAAAAATTTTCAATTGTTTTCTAAATCCTTCACAAAAATCATTCTTATTGTTTTTTATTTTCGTTTTCATTTTTAAAACATTTGTTAAATAAACACGATTTGCAGACCTGTTTTATTTTCGTGCCTCAAAAGATGTGTAAAAACGTTTTTAAAAACAAATAAAAATCAATATTAAACGCACCCTTAGGTTCTCATTTTAAGAATTTTGAACATCATGTCCTAAATTCTTAGGACTTGTTCTTTTGGATCAAAACTTAAAAAAAAAATTTTAACTCGATTACAATTTTATTCAAGTTCATGTTCTTTTGTAAAGTTTGAGTTTAAATGAGTTTGAACTTGAGTTTTGGGCTAAAATCTAGTTCAAGTTCTCCCTGCAGCTCAAGTTCTTAAACTCAAACTCAAGTTAATGAACAATATTTTATCTATTCTTAAAAATACCATAACTTTTTTGTTTTAATTCCGATTTAGATGATTTTTTTTCTATGCGTTCACAATAAAGAGACGAATAAAACCTCATCCATATACCCTATTAAAATTTTTTTTATCACCATTGAGTTTTTATTAAAATAATGTCTAAATACAAATTCAAGTTTTGACCCACCCAAACACAAACTCAAATAGAATCTCAATTCAAGCTATAATTCAAATATGTATATCCAAACACAAACTCAAGTTACAAGTTTAACTCAAGTTATAACTAAAATCACACTTAAGTCACCATAACTTAAAAATGCAACCGAACAAGCCCTCAAACTTTTAACACCCAAATTCTTAGGGGTTGTTCTTTTGCATTTTTGAGTTAGGGTGACTTGAGTGATGATCTTGAGTTGAGTTTGAGTTATAACTTGAGTTGAAGTTGTAACTTGAGTTTATGTTTGGATGTGCACATTTGAGCTATGATTTGAATTGAGAATCTTTTTGAGTTTGTGTTTGAGTGGGTCAACTTAAATTTGTATTTAAATAGTATTTTAATAAAAACTCAATGGTGATGAAAAATTTTAATAGGGTATATGGGTGGAGTTTTATTCGTCTTTTCGTTGTGAATGCATAGAAAAAAAATCATCTCAATCAGAATTAAAACGAAAAAGTTATAGCATTTTTAAGAATAGAAAAAATAATGTTCATTAACTTGAGTTCGAGTTTATGAACTCGAGTTGAAGGGAAAACTTGAACTCGAGTTTAAACTCGAGTTCAAACTCAAATTTTACAAAAGAACATGAACTTGAATAAAGTTATAACTCGAGTTCAAACTTTTTTTTTTGAATTTCGTTGCAAAAGAACAACTCCTTAATCTTTTGACATTGTTAGGCCCTATTTAATTTGTTGGCATCTTTAGTCTCAATCTTTATTTTTGTTGTGCTTTCTCGATATACCAGTCATGTAACGTACTTACACTCTTATTACAACGAGGTGCCACGTGAGTCTGATTAGGAACAATAATCTTATCTCTGTATTCCGGTAGGGACTATAAACTATTGCAGAGAATACTACAACGATGCCATTACACTATATTTTGAATATTAAATATACCATTAGGATACCATCCGACCACAATATCAGTATCCAATTAAGATTCTCGTCAGTATCCTAGCATAAAACCATTAGGAGCGGTAAGGACTGAATTACGGCGGAGCGATCCTATGGCGATGTCACGATGCCAGTATCTATTTAGATATTGGCCAGCTACCAAACAATAACTTTCGGTATCCACTTAATTATCGGTATCCGGCTTAGCAAGCAGCTATGAAAACATATGGGCGCCAAGCCTCCTTTTCTTCGTCAACTCTGACAACATATGGGCGTAGAAACTCAGTGAAGGCACATCAATCGGTGTTGCTAGGCGGCGTGCCAAATCGGTGTTGCAAGGCTTGAGCTCCTCCACGGATAGGCCTCATTTTCGTCGTCAACTCCGACAACCTCTATGAGGAGAAGCATGATGATGGAAGATTAATCGGCACTGCAAGGCTCGATGCATGAGAGAGATAGGAGGGGAAGAAGAAACGAAGAGAGAGAAAAGGAAAGTAACGAGAGATGAGGGGAAAAAAAAACCTACCAGATTAAAAAAAAAACCTAATTCATTTTAAGAGTATTTTAGGCCTCGTTCATTTTGCTGATTTGAGTTTAGAATTTGAATTTTACTATAGTAAAAAGCTCTTACAAACACTCACATCTAACTTTTTTGTTACAGTAAAAAGCTCTCATATAAAGTCACATCTTAACTTGAATTAAAAACTCGAATCAACAAACTAAACGAGCTCTTAAACTTTTTACTTTATTCGGCCTATTCGTGGTTACTTTTTTCAAACATCTTTTTTCCATGTTCGCTCTCACAAATTCCTTTTTTTTTCAAATTTTTTTCTTTTTTTTGTTTTTCAGTATTCTTTGATTTTTTTTCTCTTCACATATGTCTCTACCTAAACATTTTTTATCTGAACATATTTTTTATAAAACTAGCTCAAATTTATTTTTGTGTACCTAATAAATATTTTCAACATATATATAAAAAAACTCCTTTCTTTAAGGAAAACAATTCATTTTTCTTCAGAGCTCTTCTTTCTGTTTTTTAATGTCCACTTTGTTAAATTATCTTTACTGCATCTATTTTGACTTTGCTCAAGAGATTATTTTTGTTGCTTTCCCCTTTTTTATTCTTATCACTTTTTCCTACTACATTTTCTTTTCTTCTTCTTTTTTTAATATGATCCTCATAAATACTTTTTCTCTAATTGTCATGGTAAAATGATTCTTTCTCATATATGTCCTTACCTAATTTTTTTTAATGAAATAATCTCAAATACATTTTTCTTTGTATTACGCAATTAATAATTTTCAATGTATATATAAAAAAAAATCCTTTTGAACGAATTCCCTCCATTCCCCCCTTTTTTCCTTGCTTTTCATTTTCTGTTTTAGTTTTTTGCCCTCCTTTTCTATTTACATTCTTTGGTCCATTTTTTTCTTCCTCATTTGAAATTATTTTCGTTGTGGGCATTTTTTCCTGTCATGCAACTTTTTCAAAAAATCTTTTATATGTGTCTCATATATAATTTATTGTCTAAGTCTTTCCTTTATAATTATAAATATGTTATCCACTAATTTTTTTTTTCTAAACTCAACTCTAGGAGTAATAAAAAAATACAATTACATTTTAAAAGAAATCTAAGATTTTCATATCTAAAATTGCAAAAATTGCACGCGCGGGGCGCGTGCTAATAATTAGTAAAGGCTAAATATCTCATTAGTGAAGATCCCCATTTTGCGTTTTAGAGAAAATATTTCTATACTCCTATTTTTCTTGTAACTTTTTCATCTTCTTTTTACTCTGTTTACAATTCCTCAAATGTGACATTAAAAAATACAACAAGAACGTTTTAGCTAGTAATTAGAAATTTACAGTTTTAAACATCGGTCTTTAGATTTTAGATAAATATATTTTATTTTTTATTCTCAATAAATTTATCAAACTGAGTGTGCACGTGTGCGCGTGCTTATGGATAGTATAATATAATACGACATATTATGTTAATTGTAATTATAATATTAATTACATAATATAATTCATGAATATATAATAATTATCGGAATTCTCTTCCAAAGAGCACCTTGAAAAATGCCGGATGAGTCAGAACGAAATTTAAGTCCGTTCGATCAAATATCAATGACAACCTAGGTGAACAATTATTTCATTAGAAATATGAGGTATATGATTTTATTAATAAATAAAAAATGGTAGGTATTTAAAGGAAAAAAATGGGAATGTTAGAAGCTTTATCTTTAGGGGTTGTTGTAGGTGCGCTACCTCGTTCAACTATTCGATTTGAGTTTTTAATTTCAGTTTGCTATAAATAAAATACTCTTATAAAAAAGTTATATCTAACTTTTTTTTACTACAGTAAAAAACTATCACAAAAAGTTACATCTCAACTTGAATTAAAAACTCGAATCGGAGAATTGAATAAAGACACTTCTAATAGTGATTATCTAAAAGGATGTTTAATTAATATCAACGGTTTTAATTGACACAGTGCATTGACAAAAAAAAAAAAAAAAGACATGCGCACATAGAACGGTGTTTGCTCAAAAGAGCAAATCAGGCGGGAGGGAAAAAAATGAGCAATGAAAAATCAGTTTTTTTTTTTAATTTGCATAAAGAAAAGGAAAAAAAAAAGGATTTGTTTTCTAAAGAATATTGATTTAGGTTGAGGTTTCCAACGAATTTTTTTTAATCCATAACAATATTCTTTAAAAACCCAAATGGCAAAAATAATCTCAGCTTCTCATTGCTGTCAATTTTTTTTTTTTTTCCTGTGGAAATTTCGGTATGCATTTTACTTTCTTGTCATTGGAGCTGCAATATGGCTGTCCTCATGGGGCTGGTGAGTTAGTTTCTGAACGCTCTTTTTTTTTTTTTTTTTAAGTGAGAATTATATGGTAGGTCATGATTTTATATAAATTTATTATTTATATTATTTTAAATAATTAAATATTATTGTGCTATTTTATTTTTTTATTAATTTAATAAAAATTATTTATTTTTGAGTAAAATGACATAAACAATATTTTTTTACCATCTTAAATATTTATTTTTTCTTTTTTTAATAATTTTATTTTCAAGGTTTCAAACTAAGAGGTGTTTTTGGATTGAGCAAGAGATATCTTGTTGAATGTGAGATAGAAACAATCGATGACTCGACAATGTTACATACAACTTCTATTCATGTTATTGATTGATTCATGGGTTCAAATCAAATGAATTAAAGCTAATTTTTTGTGAGAAAAATTATTGTAACAGAATCGTTTGAACCGAAATTTGAATCCATCTACCAAACATGCAGATAGACATTCAAATGCTTTACATCTAAAATCATATTTGTTACCAGGTCGCTTTAATTATTGCTTTTATGATTTGAATTGTTTTTATGAATTTCCAATTACATGTGAATTGATTTTCTGCCCTGCAACTGATTATAATATAGTGAAAATTTTAAAAATACCATCAATAGATTGACACAATTTTATTTATAGCATTATTGTTAAATTTATATTATGTCACTTATTTACTGCAAATTGTCTTTTTATATCTTATAGGATATTTTTCATAATTTGTATGTTATCTTTTTTAACCTACAGAGTATCTTTTCATATCCATTTTTTATAATGACATTAACATTTTATGTAATGACAAATAATAGAATTAAAAAAAAAATTATGGTTAAAACTTAAAATTTTCTCTATAATATCTTCCTCGACCTGATACCATCCCTACAATAGGAACAAGTGTCTTACAAAGCCCCAAAATAACAATCTATCCACTCCCATAAAACTATTTATTTGGTTGGTGGATTCGTGTCATGGTTCGTGTCATGGTTCAGATTATGGTTCGTGACTCGCTATAATATTTTCTCTCACAAAAAACACACGTAAATTGAGAATGAATCTAAATTCATCAACCAAACGTCTGCTAAGTTTTTTATGGGCACCTTTTCTTTTTCTTTCTTTTTTTTTTAAAAAACTTTCCTCCCCTTTTCCCTCTTTTCTTTCCTTTTTACCTTATCTTTTTCTATTTTTATATTTTTTGCCTTATTATACATTTTTTTTCTCAAATTTACCCTCATAAATATTCTTTTTCCTTTTGATAACCTATTTAAATATTTCTTCTCATAAATATCTCTGTTTAATAATCTCCTGATAAAATGTTTTGAAAGTTTTTTTTTTTTTACTTTCTTTTGTTTTTTTGTCTTCCTTTTTTTTAATTGTTAATATTATTTTCTTATTATACATTCTTTCTTTCTTTTTTTACGATATTTTATAAATAATAATGAAAAACATACTCATTAGAGTCTCATTTGGTGAAATAAAAAAAAGAGCATATAATGATTAATATTACAGATATCAACTTAAATTTAAATTTTTATGTATTTATTAATGTGACATGCTAAAAGATGAGTTGCCACGTGACACTGATAGCATGGAAAAGCTCATTGAGAGCACTATTCAAAGAGTCATTCTCCTTTAATAATTGGTAATAGATAATAAATAATAGATTTCTACACCACATAAAAACTTCCACCTAAGTAAATCAATAATTATATAGGCATGTACTATATAATTATATATTTATCATATTATTATTTACAATACTACAACTATATTATATTTTATAATATTACTATATTATTTATTATTGTATTATATTCTAATTACATAATATATTACGTAATTACATATGATATATTATAATATATAAAAATATTTAAGGGTGTTTAACGTCAAAACTCCTGACATTTCTTTCCCATTTCAACTAAAACGGCAACGTTTTGGTTGGAATTGGAATGCCACTCCTTTTTCTCTTTTTTTCGTTCAAGTCCTTTTGATTTTTTACCCTAAACTTTATTTTTTATTTGTTTTTTGTCTTTTTTTTTTCCTTTTTGTCTTGAAATTTTGTTTTTTTACTCTAAAACTTATTTATTTATTTATTTTGACCATTTTTTATTTTTTAACTAAAACTTTATTTTTTTTTGTTTGGGATCTTTTTGCTTTAAAACTTATTTATTTCTTCATTTCACTCCTTTTTTTGACTTTTTTTTTATTTTTGTCTTAAAATTTCATTTTTTTTTTCCATTTTAATAGCTTTTACCCTAAAACTATTTATTTCTCATTTTGATCCTTTTTTAACCTTTTTTTTTATTTTTTTCCTAAAATTTTATTTTTTTCGTTTTGATTTCTTTTCCTCTAAAACTTTTATATTTGTTCATTAAATCTAAAACTCAGTATGTCAGATTAGTGTAGTCCCTGTCCCATGCAAGATCTTGTGCCCTCATCCTACGTGGTCATGCGAACACAGTGGTTCTTTTTGTTCTTGATTTTATTTAGTTTTAAAATTGTTTTCTTAACAAATTTTAAATATTAATGGTTAAAATGATGTTTATATAGTAGTTATTGGGGTTGCTTTTGGTATTTTAGAAACTTTTACCTTGTAAAGGGTCATTTTTTTTACACTTTTTTTCACACTTTTGAGAAATGTAGGAGATAATTTTTGGATAATCTTACTTAAATATAAGAAATGTTTATTTTTTGATGATATAATACCTAAAACACTCTTCATGTTTTGTAAAAATATTAATTACATCCTTCTTACTATAAAAACACAATCAAAACACTCTCTGAAGCAACTCATGACATGTTTACTTATCAGGAGTGGGGAATAAGAATCGTGAATCGGAATCAACTCCATGTCTACTTGCCAATTTTTATCTTGAAATGAGAGTGAAAATGTGTGGGTCTCACAGCAATTTAGGGTTGAGGAAAGAGATTGACACTGCTAATCCTAACAATAAATATTAATTACGATTTTACCCTTAATTCTACTAATAAATTTGTGAATAGAAAAGTAAAAAGTAAAAAATTGAAAAATGCCCTAATTTACGTTCACGCCTCTCATATATCCTTGCTCACTTCCTCTGATATTTTTTTTATTTTTTTTATTTTTTACTAGTGCCATGGACAAATTTATATCAATAAAAATAGTTAAATGAAATTAAGATAACTTTTTTTTCATGCTTATAATTTGATTCTTGTGTTATGCCTATTGCTTTTCATTTTTCAATCTATATCCTAAGCTGATTTTTGTTTTCTATAATATGCAATGTAATGCTAAATTTAATTTTATATGTTGATAATGTAGAGTAACCATGTCTCAACTTTTAGCACGAAATAAGAGAGTAATTAACAAAATTTAATTACTAATTAGTTATTCTAATTTAGTGTGATAAAAAAAAATCTAATTACTAATTAGTTATCATAATATTAAGATAATTAGCATAATATACAATTTCTTTTTTTTAAAGTTTAACACACAAAAATCTACTAAAATGGTAGGTAAGTAAATTTATAACAATTTATTCCGATTCTGGGCGAAAATAAACACATGAATGAGATTGTGACTGATTATGACTCCGATTCTAAGAACCTAAGTAAATAACTTATTCTGACTCCGATTCCTGTCTACTCTGAATCTTGTCCACTCCGATTCATGTCCACTCCTATTACGGATAAGTTAACATGCCATCAAGTTTTTTAAAATACTAAGATTACCCTTATCAATTTATTAAATACTATTTAATCATTATTAAGCCAAAGTATTAAGTAAAATCAACTTAAAAAATGAAAGACTCTCAAAATAATTGAAGTATTTCTTTTAATTGAAATATTTATTTGAGCATTTTAAATTTTTTTATTTACTTTTTTATTTAAATTATATCTAAAATGACATTTAATATAATTTGAGAAAAATAATCATGATACTTTTAAATATTTTAATTACTTTATGAAGTGTTTTGAGTATGTTTTTAGAAGGACAGAGTATATTTTTGACATTTGCATAATAAAAGAGTGAAAGCGATATTTTAACACTAACATATGAATGTTTTGAATATTTTTTATTTTTAAATTATTAAGAACAAAGGAGTAAACATGGTCGCGTAAAAGTCAAGATATGCTTTTTTTTTTTTTATTTTCTCGAAGTTTATAGACATAAGTGCAACAAATTCTTTTTTTTTATTTACATTTTTTTGTTTTTTTTAATTATATATTCAGCATCTTGTGAATGTGGTTGAAATTGAAAAAAAAAAAAAAGAAGACGGACCGTCACGAGCAATCTCATGATGAATCATGACTAGCAAAAAAAAATCTGACGATGAATCATACAAATCGACAAAGCCAACGGTCAGTTACGTGTGCACTGATCATCACTCGACTAGACATTTGCCACTCGTTAATCAGCATCTCTCCACTTCCCCAATTATTACTCCCTCCCAGATGAGATTCGTCATTCCACTAATACGTAATTAATTAACAATAATAATGCCAACAAATTAAATTAATTAATTTAGTGATAATACACACAGAGATAGAGAGACTATACATTATAATATTAGTCATTTCACCAATTTTAATTTTTAATTTTATTATAATTAAAATTTTTTATAAAAAGTTATATATAATTTTTTTTGTTATAATATATGAACTGGAAGACCGAACAAATATGAAAAAGGCAATGTTAATAACAACTGTACCACTACCACCAGTAGTTCCCAGTGGCAGTGGACGATCATCGTTTTCCGGGCCCACGCCTTCTCAGATTCCGATTCCACCTCGTGCTTCTTTCTCAGCTTCTGCCATTTTCGGTCCTGCGAGCTTCTGTCAATATCGCCTTCCTCTTTTCGGTTCGTCAAGGTTCTTGATTTACTACTTTTGTTTTTTGTTTGAATTCGATGTTGACGTTAGTTTGGTCGGATTTTCCTGTTTGAAAATGTCGATGGGGATTTTGATTTGTTACTATTTATAGTTGCTAAAGTTCAATACTTCAATTTGGTGAAGTTTTGTCTGATTACGTTTTGGTGTTCTTGCAATGTTTATTTTGCCAAGTTTGAAGCTTGTTTTTATCACTTGCATGTTCAAATGCAATTTTGTGTTCTCCTGATTTTATTTTATTTTATATGTTTTAAATCCGTCCTGATTTTGATGTGATTGATCATTGTTGAAGGGAAGCTACTACTATATTATCAAAATTCCTTGAATTTGATTTTTTTTTACTTGCAATTAAAAAAAAACCCTTGAATTTGGATCTTCATTCTGAAATTTTGAAATAAAACCAATGTCCACTAGTTCTTTCCTTATGTGTCTGTTGTTGATCCTTGGGAAGCTTTATTATTGTCTATTGTGTGTGGTTTTCCTTTCTTTCCTTCCTTTTCTCCCTAAAACTTCTTGTCTTTTCTTTTGTACATTTTTATCATCTCTATTAATTAGTTTGTTTCTTATAAAAAGAAAAATTTGAAAGCCTGGGTCACCTCCTTTATGTTCTCAAGTGTGTTATTTAGTTTTCCATGCTCCAAGAGTCAAGAGATGTTATACATTTTTAATGTTCTAGTAAATTTCTTTCTTATGCATTTTTGTTTTCTGTGGGTGCAGAAAGAAGAGGCTTACTAAGAAGTTCTTCACCGGAAGATTAGTATCTAAAATGACTGATCACAAAACTGCAAAAGAGATCACTGCAGATGCCTCAGGAGATATGATTTTTGAGCCTATCTTGGAGGATGGTGTGTTCCGATTCGATTGTTCTGAGAGTGCTAGAGCTGAAGCTTTTCCAAGTTTTTCTTTTGTGAATAGCAGTGTCAGGGACACACCAATCAAGAGTCACAACTCTCCTTCATACGTTCCTACTTTTAAGAGCCTTTTGGGGCAACAGACTGTTAAATTAGAGGTTACTTATCTCCTTTTTATCAGAATATTTCCAACCAGAATTTTTTTATTGTATATAAGTTTTAAGTGATCAATCACTTCCCATTCCTTAGTTTAGTGTATAAGCCAATTTTTTTATTTTTATTATTTTTATTTTAATTTTAGCTTCCTGCTGGTACCTCCCTCTATGGAACTGGAGAGGTTAGTGGTCAACTTGAGCGTACAGGAAAAAGGGTAAGCTACTTTTTAAGTTTCTTATATAATGGCATTTGCAGAAACTTTCCCTGATCCTGTAGTAATAATGTTCTGCTCGTTTTAGGTTTTTACCTGGAATACGGATGCGTGGGGCTATGGTTCTGGAACAACATCGTTGTATCAGTCACATCCCTGGGTACTAGCTATTCTTCCAACAGGAGAAGCCCTCGGGATTCTTGCTGACACATCACGACGCTGTGAGGTGCTAATATTTGACTTTTTGCAGTATATGGAAGTTAATTGTTCTTGAAACCTTTTGAACTTTTTTATATTCCTTTTTTTCCCTTTGTTTTGTGCAGATTGATTTGAGAAATGAATCAGTAATACAGTTTATTGCTCCATCCCCCTATCCTCTTATTACATTTGGTCCATTTGGCTCACCAACTGCTGTTTTGGTATCTTTGTCACATGCAATTGGTAAATTCCTACATCAAATTTGGACCCTCTCTCTCTCTATATATGTGTGTGTGTGTGTGTGTGTCTATCTGGAGCAAAATATATATCTCTGTGTGTGTGTGTGTGCACACGTGTGTATGTGTGCGTACACATATCACTATGATATCATTTGCAAATGTTTCCCTTTGGGCCATGAAGCCTAAATTCTGATATTTGAAGATGTCTGGCACTTTGCATTATTGCCTACTTAAGCTCTAGTGTTATAGGATAATTGTAAATAAAACAAAGTTTTAGTGGCTTAATTTGCGATGTTAGGTATCTGCTATGTTCACTGGATCTTTCGATCAGATATCTATTGCACATAAAATGAAATGGAAAAGAAAATAACAGTTATAGAAATAGATTTTTCACCTTGACCTGGCTCTCCATGTTTTATTCGAGTTTATGTAACATCAATAAAATGGTCTTGTATTAAAAAGAAATAAAAAACTTTAGAAAATTTGCAAGAGTTTCCACTTTCTATTGTCTTTTGTAAAAGGTGGTCTGAGTACTACAAATTTAACTTATGATTGTTGATAAATTATCATTGTAACATTTTATTTTCATATTGGTTTACAGTTCTTGCACTGTCTTATTTATTTTTTTTTTTTATGATTAGGAACTATATTTATGCCCCCGAAGTGGTCATTAGGCTATCACCAATGCCGCTGGAGTTATGAGAATGAGACAAGAGTTCGTGAGGTATATGATATTTGCTCATCTCAAATACTAGACTCTCTTTCTTTCGCTCTGTTTCTCTTTCTTAACTACTCAAAAGAGCATGTTCCAACACATGCATCTTTGCGTTTATAGGTCTTTGTGTGAATTAGTATCAACAAACTTAGTACCTCAAATCAACATCCTAGGTTACCAAATTTCTTGTAGCTCATGGAAGGTGAATTTTTTTGAAATTATGCTTTTGATTGTTATGATTATTGACAGGCGTCCCTTTGCAGATAGCCAGAAAGTTTCGGGAGAAGGGTATACCTTGTGATGTCATATGGATGGACATAGATTACATGGATGGATATCGTTGTTTCACTATTAATCAGGCATGTTGTTATATAAAGCCTTTTATTTATGGCATTTCCTCCATACAATTTAATATGTTAATAAAATTTAGGATTATTTTTTAAGCACAACATTCTAGATTCATTGAATGTAATCATGTCAGTTACATTTTCACCCCTGCCAATATAATATGTTTCTCAATGTATTTCTTTCAGTATTTTTCATAGACATGACTGCAAGAAATAGATTAGTAGAAAACATATTATTCTGGAATAGTTTATTCACTCACATATAAAATGAGCCTAAAAGTACATGTTCAGAATGAAAGGTCATCTGCTTGTGACTTAAAATGAAGCTCTATTGAAGACCATCGAAGTAGTTTCCATTTTTCTTGAACCGGATCTTGTTATTATTCATAACCAGGAACTTTGTTATACTGAAACTTTCAGGAGCGCTTTCCGGATCCCAAATCTTTGGTGAAAGATCTTCACAATGATGGTTTCAAAGCAATTTGGATGCTTGATTCGGGAATCAAGCAGGACAAGGGTTATTTTGTGTATGATAGTGGTTCCAAAGAAGATGTCTGGGTTCAAAAATCAGATGGAACTCCTTTTGTAGGTATATTCTCTTAATGCTGGAAATTAATGAGTTTTGGTGTTGTAACATGGTGAAAATGTCCTATGGTTTTCATAGTGACCGTATAATTATGGTGTCATCTTCTCTACTTGTTCAAAATTATCTCTTCAGAGTAGTGCTTCTTAAAAATTAATATGCTTTCCATGAATATCCAGGCGAGGTATGGCCAGGACCTTGTGTTTTCCCAGACTTTACGCAGGCAAAAGTTAGGTCGTGGTGGGCGAATTTAGTTAAAGATTTCATTTCTAATGGTGTTGACGGTATTTGGAATGATATGAATGAACCAGCTGTCTTCAAGGTAGTAAAGATAATTTCTTTTTTTTTTCCCCTGGAGATTGCATTATTTCATCCAGGTTTACTCATATGTTTGATCTTTTTCAGGTCGTAACAAAAACAATGCCTGACAGCAATATTCATAGAGGGGATGATGAACTTGGGGGTTGTCAGAATCATGCATATTATCACAATGTATTCTGCAATCAGACCTTCTTAATTGTGCTTTTAACAATAAATGCCTTTTGTAATTGTTGTATGTAGTATTGATACAAAGTATTTTTGAGCTTTAATTTCTGGATAATGTTGAACATTTAGGTGTATGGCATGTTAATGACGAAGTCAACTTATGAAGGTATGAAGTTGGCTAATAAAGACAAGCGTCCTTTTGTTCTCACAAGAGCTGGATTTATTGGTAGTCAAAGATATGCTGCAACATGGACGGGAGACAATCTGTCAACTTGGGAGCACCTCCATATGAGTCTTTCAATGGTTCTTCAGTTGGTACGTAATAATTTGTCATGAATGGAAGTAGAACTAACTTTTCTTTAACGATACTTTAATAATAATTGTCTCTCTTATATGATGAGAAGTTCAAAAGGGAACTTTATGTTTAACTCTCCTTTAAGAAACAGAAACGTTCAAAATATAATAGATGATGGAAAGTACCTCTTCTAAAAAATGGACATTACGAAAGACTGCAAGATGTCCCAAAGAAGAAGAAAGATAACAAACGGGTGCGACATGAATTATTCCCCTTTACAATTCCAGATCAGATTGAATTCATGTTTCCCACTGATCAGCAGTTTTTCATTTTTTTTTTTAGGGTTCCTTCCTTGACTCATTTCAGTTTCCTGAACATGGTCTTTTATGAAGTTTTGGCTTTTTGCTTCCTATATCCTTCAAAAAAAAAAAAAGAGAAAAACAATTCCTCCCGTTGTGAAGGTCAAAATAGAAATATATAGTGATGAAATAGTTCTGATAGAAATCCTAATGAGAAGATCACCTAATAACACTGATGAAAGTCTCTAGGCTTGAAAGAATTATATCTATTCAATTTTAGTTTGACATTTGCTTTAATATCTTGAGTAACTTGTAATAGCATACTTTACCTAGCTGAAAAACTATAAAGGTTTCTTAACACTCTTGGAGCTGTTTGAATCTCTAGATTGAACTTGAATTGAATTGATTATAGTAACATATATACGTATATCTCAACATTACTCAACTCTGTTTTGGTTTGATTTGTTTTTGGGTCTTTGTGGTCAGCCTCTATCTGGGCCTGATATTGGTTGCTATAAAGGTTTCTTAACTTGTAATAGCATACTTTACCTAGCTGAAAAACTATAAAGGTTTCTTAACACTCTTGGAACTGTTTGAATCTCTAGATTGAACTTGAATTGAATTGATTATAGTAACATATATATGTATATCCCAACATTACTCAGCTCTGATTTGGTTTGATTTGTTTTAGGGTCTTAGTGGTCAGCCTCTATCTGGGCCTGATATTGGTGGCTATGCTGGCAATGCAACTCCCAAGCTTTTCGCAAGGTGGATGGCCATGGGGGCTTTGTTTCCTTTTGCCCGTTGCCACTCTGAAGCTGCAACCACCGATCATGAACCTTGGTCTTTTGGTGAAGAGGTTTGATCTCTTAAAGCGCGTGTCCCATATCTATGTTAATGTTATGCATCATAATATATTTTATGTGGGAGCTGAATATCTGGAATTTACATACCTTAGGAAGAGTTTGCCACTTGTTTTAGTAGCTATTAAAAGATTATAGTGCAATTTTTCTTTTCTTCCCTATTGCCTGGGGATGGAATTTGCATGTTTAATTTGTATATATAATTTTTCTTGACAGCTAATTGTTACAATACAAGCCTTAAGCAAGTTATATTTGGGTGTTCGTTGTTTTTTCCTTTGAAGATTTGTTGTTAGGAGTTACAACCGTTTAAGAAAGTTGGTCAAAATAGGTTAAAAATAGTTCTTGCGTTTACGTTTCTTGAGAGGTTAGAAAGGGCAGCATGTAGTTGCAAATTATATGCCTTGGTGTCTTTTACGTGACTTTTTTGTTTTTAAATCGATGTACAAGGTCCTGATGAAAGCCTACTTGAAAGATTTATTGGAGAAAAAAGGTTCTCTTCATTGTATTGAAATCAGAAACATACAGTATTAAATAGAGATTAGAATCCGTGTGATTCTCAACCTCCCTAGAAAATATGAACAAATCTAAAAACAGAAAAAAAAAACTTCCTAATATTCGAATTCTAAAATTCAAATTTATTGCTGATCTATCCTACTAGATCTCTAACAGAAAAATCCTAACTTCTTCGACACTCCCCCTCAAGTTGGAGCATAGATATCAATCATGCCCAACTTGCTGATTAGATGTTCAAAGTTAGGTCTCGCAAGTCCTTTGGTCAAAATGTCTGCTATCTGCTGAGTGGTAGGAACAAAAGGCATGCAAACGATACCCGCTTCAAGCTTTTCCTTTATGAAATGACGATCAATCTCCACATGCTTGGTCTTGTCATGCTGCACCGGATTATGAGCTATGCTGATAGCTGCCTTATTATCACAGTATAGCTTCATGGGCTGTTCCACGGTCCTTTTCAACTCCTCTAGAACTCGGTTCAACCACAACAACTCACATATTCCTTGTGCCATTGCCCTGAATTCGGCTTCTGCTCTGCTTCTCGCTACAACACTCTGCTTTTTGCTTCTCCAAGTAACCAAATTACCCCATACAAACGTACAATATCCTGAGGTAGATCTCCTATCAGTGATAGAGCCAGCCCAGTCTGCATCCGTGTATGCTTCAATGCTCCGCTGTTCATTCTTTTTGAAAAATAATCTTTTTCCAGGAGTCCCTTTTAAATACCTCAAGATTCGGTAGACTGCCTCAAGGTGTTCTTCATAAGGATCATGCATGAATTGGCTCACCAGACTGACTGAGAACGCAATATCTGGTCGTGTGTGAGACAAGTAGATTAGTTTGCCAACTAATCTTTGATATCTTCCGGTTTCCACAGGAATCCCTTTTTCCTTTTCCCCGAGCTTAACATTAGGATCCATGGGAGTATCTACGGGCCTGCAACCGCTCATACCTGTTTCCTTAAGGAGATCTAATATGTACTTCCGTTGGGATACAACGATCCCCTTTCCTGACCGTGCTACTTCCATACCCAAAAAATACCTCAATGGTCCAAGGTCTTTGATCTCAAACTCTGAAGCTAGACTTTTCTTCAACTTGCTCATCTCCATTACATCATTACCTGTTAGTATGATATCATCCACATATACTATCAGGATAGAAATTTTACCTTCGGTTGAGGACTTTGTGAACATGGTATGATCAGTTTGTCCCTGAGTATAACCCTGTCTCTTGACTGACTGAGTGAATCTTTCAAACCAGGCTCTTGGTGACTGCTTTAATCCATACAAGGATTTTTTTAATTTACACACCTTGGATCCGAACCTCTCTTCAAAGTCAGGAGGAACGTCCATGTACACCTCCTCCTCCAGATCACCATTGAGGTGTTCTTGACATCAAGTTGTTGTAGAGGCCAATCCTAGTTTGCTGCAATTGACAGAAGTACTCTCACAGTATTTAACTTTGCAACCGGTGCAAAAGTTTCTGAATAGTCAATACCGTAGGTTTGAGTAAACCCCTTGGCCACCAATCGAGCCTTATGTCTTTCCAATGAACCATTTGAATTATACTTCACGGTAAACACCCACTTGCAACCTACTGTGGTCTTCCCTTCAGGTAAGGGCACTACTTCCCAGGTTTTGTTCTTCTCAAGAGCCCTCATCTCTTCAAACGCAGCTTCTTTCCACTTCGGAATAGTTAGAGCCTCCTGTACATTGTTTGGAATTTCTACACTAGAAAGTCGTGAAACAGAGGCAGCAAGAGATGGGGACAAATTTTCGTAGGACACAAACTTAGCCAAGGGATGTTTAGTACAGGACCTAACACCTTTTCGACAAGCAATTGGAATATCTAGGTTAATAAGAGACTCAGATGTTGACAATGGACAAGAGGAACTAGACTCAGGAATAGTAATACCTGTATCATACTCTAACTGCTGATTTGTTCTTGGTTCAGATTCACGGCCTTGCTGCAAAGCAGAGTTGTCACTTCCTTGCATCAGGTTCTTCCTTGAATAGACAATTCCCTTCCAGATTTTATTACTTGTTTTGTTTCCACCTTCTATCTCCTCATGAGGTTGATTAGGTAGTGGCATCACGATTGGCTGTCCTACATTTTCAAGGTCTGAAATACTAGTTTCCAGGGTAGGCTGAAAGGACAAAGGCTGGTCAGTACCTTCCGAGTATGTTGACTCATTTGATCCTAAGCTGTGTGGTGTGGTGATTTTGTTTGGGTCAAATATCTGAAGTATGTCAACAAAGTTATTCGAGTCTTCACATTGAGTCTCCCCCTGAAGATGAGTGTTTATCAAAAAATGGCTTGTTTTCAAAAAAAGTTACATCCATAGTAACAAACATTTTTTTTCAAGATTGGATCAAAACACTTATATCCCTTTTGAGTTGGTGAATACCCTACAAAAACACATTTAGTTGCTCTAGGATCAAGTTTCCCACTAGTGGGATTGTGATTGTGAACAAAAGCAGTACAACCAAATTTTTTTAAGGGTAAATCCACAGACAACCGTGTTGAGGAAAAATATTTTTTGAAGGCATTGATGGGAGTTTGAAATTTCAAAACCTTAGATGGCATCCTATTAATCAGGAAGGTTGCAGTTAAAATAGCCTCTCCCCATAAGTATTTGGGAACTTTATTAGAAAACATTATAGACCGGGCTACCTCCAAAAATTGTTTATTTTTTCTCTCTGCAGTTCCGTTTTGTTGAGGTGTATTATTACAAGAACTTTGGTGAACTATAACATTTCCAAGGAAATATTTCCCTAAGATCTCATTAAAATACTCCCTTCCATTGTCACTCCTAAACACTTGTATGTTTGTTTGAAATTGATTTTGGACCATTTTGTGAAAATTTTGGAACACTTGTTCTGCTTCAGATTTTTCTCTTAATAAATACACCCAGCAAAGTCTTGTGTGATCATCAATGAAGGTTATAAACCATCTTTTACCCGAAAAAGTACTAACCCTATTTGGACCCCAGATATTATTGTGAATTAGAGAAAATGGTTTTGAGGGTTTGTACAGTTGTAAAGGAAAAGATGCACGGTGATGCTTTGCTAATTCACACATTTCACATTGAAACATAGATGGATCTTTATTGCTAAACAACTTTGGAAACAAATATTTCAGATATCGAAAGTTGGGATGGCCTAACCTATAATGCCATAACATAATTTCACTATTGTTGGAAATAAAAGCAGATTCAAAACAAGTACTTTGAGATTGTCTCTTCAAATCAGTCCCATTTTCAAAGAAGTAGAGTCCTCCACTTTGCCTAGCATTGCCAATCATCTTCCCCGAGTTCAAATCCTGAAACTCACATATGTTTGAAAAGAAATTAGCTCAACAATTTTGTTCTTGTGTTAATTTACTGACAGACAATAAATTACACGACAGATTAGGAACATGAAGAACATTGCGGAGAGTAAGAGACGGAGAAATAACGATTGACCTTTTCCTGCAATGGCTGAAAGTGAGCCATCAGCTATTTTTCTTTTCTGGTTTCCTGCACAAGGACTATAGGACGAGAAATACTTTGACGAACCTGTCATATGATCGGTTGCACCTGAATTTATGATCCAAGGACAATTTTGATTAATATTGAAAAGGGCTGCGGACAGGTAATTACCTTTTTGTGCTAAAGAACAAGATGGAGGAGAGTTTGATTGAGACTGCAGAAGTTTGCACAGTTGGTCTATCTGTTCCTTTGTGAATGGAATAGTATTTGAAGAAGGTTGCTGCCCCTGGTCTGTAACTCCAGCCTGGAAAGCTCGGCCCTCACTTCCTGTCTTCTTTTTCCAATTTGGTGGCTTTCCGTGTATCTTCCAACAGGTTTCTCGTGTGTGCCATGGACGTTTGCAATGATCACACCATGGCTTCTCAGCCCGTTTGAAGTCCTTTCTTCCTTCGTCATGAGAATACCCCTTAGTGACTAGGGCAGAATTCTCTGTTTCGGGAATAATTTTTTGTGTAGCTTCACTAAACATCACACGTCTTCGCCCTTCTTCTCTCTGAACCTCTGAGAAGACTTCTTGAATTGATGGCAGGGGTTTGCAGCCTAAAATCCGTCCTCTAACTTCATCAAGGTCCTTGTTGAGTCCCGCCAAGAAAACGAAAACCCTGTCGTTTTCTTCTCTTTTCATGTGCCTCACGCTGTCAGTTGGGCAGTCCCAATCGTCGTCATAACACAAGTCAAGCTCTTGCCACAGCGTCATCATCTCGTTGTAATAGGCAGTCACATCACGGTCGCCTTGCCTTGACTGCCATAACTTGGATTTCAATCCAAAAATTTGAGAAGAATTCTCCAAATCTGAGTATGTATCTCTGACTGCATCCCACACATCCTTTGCTGTTGGTAGAAACAGAAACGGTTTTCCAATTGCTGGTTCCATTGAATGAATCAACCATGCAATTAACATGGAATTCTCGGATCGCCAAGTCTTCATGGTTGGGGGTCTTCGTTCGCTGGTTTCTTTATTTCCCCTGTGAGATACCTGAGTTTGCCTTTGCCATCAATAACCAATTTCACGGACTGAGCCTATTCCATGTAATTTTTTCCATTCAATGGTTAAATGAAGAGAAGAGGAAGATGAAGAGGAATTTTCAGGGTTGTTGAACGGAACAGTAGGGTTAAAAGGCATACCCTCTGTAGACTCCCCTGTTGTTGAATCAGTCTCTTGCGCCATTAGTGAGAAGTGATCGAGAGCCGAGGCTCTGATACCATGAAAGATTTATTGGAGAAAAAATGTTCTCTTCAGTGTATTGAAATCAGAAACATACAGTATTAAATAGAGATTGGAATCCGTGTGATTCTCAACCTCCCTAGAAAATAGGAACAAATCTAAAAACAGAAAAAAACAAACTTCCTAATATTCGAATTCTAAAATTCAAATTTATTGCTGATCTATCCTACTAGATCTCTAACAGAAAAATCCTAACTTCTTCGACACTATTCATAATGAATGGAAACAACTGAACCTTATTCCCATTTTCTTATATCAGCTCTTGTTACTTATGCCTGTTACTTTGTTTTCTCAGCTTTTTTTTTTTTTTTTTTTTTTTTTTGGTACTTCATTCCTCTTTTTGAAGTAAAGTAATGAAATAATGTTTCTTTAAAAAAATTAAAGTTATTTATTTCGGGAATGTTTATGATTTTTTCTTATCATCTATCTTTACTAATTTCTATGCTATTCAACAGTGTGAAGAAGTATGCCGACTTGCACTGAAAAGGCGCTACCGCCTTCTCCCACATATGTACACTCTCTTGTATATGGCACATACCATTGGTACTCTGGTGGTAACTCCGACCTTTTTTGCTGGTGGGTTCTTAAATGATATGAAATTCCTGAGGAAGCTCATGAAATTTTATATCATGTAATATGGGCTAACATCTGTAAATTGTGTGTGCAGATACCAAAGATCTCAGCTTAAGGAAAAATGAGAATTCTTTTCTGCTGGGTCCAGTTCTAGTTTATACAAGGTTGCTATTTCTTTTCTTATGAAGAAAATTGATTATATTGTATATATTCAATCATGCCTGCTATGTTAGTGTTTTGACTTTCATTTTCTGTAAATTACTCTACATGTTTTTGGCACATTTAACTTTTTTCTTCTTAAGAAAAAATGAAGTGATACTGGATGTGTGATCCAAACACTTTCAATAAAAAAGATCCAAGTATCTAAATTTACGAGGACTTTAGAACTAAGTTAATGTTCAGTTCTTAATGGTCCTCTCTTTTTTTTTTTTCCACTTAAATTCTTAGTCATTTTGCACTAAGCATGTATGAATGAAAATCCCATGTGCTAACAGATGTTCTTGATCGATCTAATTTCACAAAATTGGTAAATCATTCAGAGACAAGTTCGTTTTGAAAGTTTTGATTGTACTCCATTCTGTTTCGTGGATTTTTTTCTTTCATATTGATTTCATATATATCGTTCTCAGTACGGTATGGGATCAGGACACTGACTATTCTCAGTCTGCACTTCCTAAAGGAATCTGGTTGAGTTTTGATTTTGATGATTCACATCCAGTATGTACACTTAAATCTTGATTTTCCCTTTCCTTTTTGTTTTTATTTTTTCTTTATTTCATTTTTTCCATTATCTTAGTGTCACTTTATATTTTGTCTCTGTTATTGCAGGATATACCAGCTTTGTATTTGCAAGGTGGAGCAATTATTCCTTTGGGTCCTCCACATCAGCATGTTGGTGAAGCTAGACCATCAGATGACTTGTCACTCATTGTGGCTTTAGATGAACACGGTAAGTTTCAGTCCAATTAATTCTCTGGGGATGAGGAATACCTGGTATGTATATTCTTGAAATAAAGAATTAAAAGATTGACAAAATAACAAAGAAAGTTTGTGTTGGGGGGGTGGAAAGTTCTGTGTCTACACAAATGTTACTTCTATTGAATTCAAATCTTTGAACTAGCTCTGGAAAATGGGATTCTCTCCAAGGAAGAACTCTCCTGACGCTCAAGTCAACAAGAGATCAAATCATATGAATTTTAAGCTTAAATCCCGAATCAGCTCTCTTCTTCCTATCAATTTGGATTTTGTTCATCAGAACTTAAAATCTCAATTTAAAAGAAAAACCAGTTCCTAGCTTCTTACTTTAGAATTGTCCTGATTTGATCTCTTGATGACTTGAATGGCATAGAGTTCTTCCCCAGAGCTAGTTCAGGGATTTGGAATCAAGCGAAGTAACAACTGCTGTAAATGAGGTAGGCATGCATATCTGTAAAAGGATTTTAGAGTGGTGTGCACATATTTTCACATACGTACATATGTGGATTTTGACAGTGGATTTCTGGAATTCGTTTAAATTGCTCATACCCAGTAACCCAAAATATTCTCTCTTAAGTAATTTATGTTATCAGTTTAACAGATTGTTACTCTAGACTTCCTAATTTGGTGGCACCATACTGTGCAGTTGTTAAGTTTATAGGAGATTGTTTTCTTTACAGGGAAAGCAAAAGGCGTTCTATATGAAGATGATGGGGATGGATATGGATTCACTGAAGGTCATTTTTTGTTGACGCATTATGTTGCTGAGCTTCAATCCTCAGTTGTTACAGTTGGAGTTTCCAAAACTGAAGGGTCTTGGAAGAGGCCAAATCGTCGTCTTCATGTTCAGTTATTGCTTGGTGGGGGTGCAATGGTATGCCTTCTTTTTAGGGGAAACACTCTTAAGCATATGCTTAAAGTAATAGAATTGTTTTAGTTCTAGGTTTACTGCTTAATTGTTTTATCAGGTTGATGCATGGGGGACAGATGGAGAGGCTCTTCAAATAAAATTGCCATCAGAGCAGGAAGTTTCTGAGCTGGTTTCTGCCAGTATGAAGCAATGCCAAACTCGACTAGGTAATACTTATTTATACTGGCTACTGGTTCAAACTTTTATTTTTAACTTGGTACATATAACTGGCAAATTGCGAGCATATTTTTCTTGTTTTCAAGCTAACTCTTTGCGGTCTTCTCACTTCTTTTTCAATTTTATCACATCATGAATTGGTACTCATTCTTCTTAAAATGAAAACTTATGGAGTGCAATTAGAAAATACATTGGTAAGGAGATTGCTTTGTTTCTAATGATTCATAAGTTATTTTGTAGAAAATGCAAAGCGTGTCCCAAATCTGGAAGATGCTTCTGAACACAAAGGAACAAAACTATCGAGGACTCCCATTGAACTGAAAGGTGGTGATTGGGTTACAAAAGTAGTTCCTTGGATTGGAGGCAGAATAATATCCATGATGCACATTCCTTCAGGTAATACTTCCAGACATTGTTGAGTATCTCTCTCTCTCCTCGGTGTAGGGTGTTCCTGTTTATGGATTAGTTTACATTTTCTTCCTAGTAAACTGTATGCTCCCTCTTCTTCTATGGTTTATTTTACGAGAAATGCTAAATGCAGACTCTATTACATACTCTTTCTCAGATGCTATCTTCTACCTTCAATACGTATCACCTTAACTTTTTCAAGCAAATAAACTTAATAAGAAGTCATCTTTTAAGTCATCTTTTACAAATATGATTACATGAATGCCATTCTTTTCTTTTGCACCCACCAACCGCTTCTTATAGAAATTGCCAACTTAATATATACGATTGACACGTTTCTTTTCTGGTCTGTTTTACGAAAAGATTGCAACATCAAGGTTTTTCTTTTCTTTTTTTTTTTTAAGGATTAAATGTACAATTATTTTTTTCCCTGAATATATAGTATCCAAATTTTTAAGAAAATAATAAGGTATTTGAAAAAAATGAACATATATATTCCTTATAAATCAAAAACCTGTTACGAAAAGAACCTGTTACTTAAATTTCAAAAATAATAGTTTACGAAAAGAAACAACATTATAGTTGAGTTGATGCATTGTTTAGCCAAAAACACACATCAGCAAACAAAAATAAAATAAAATTCAAATCTATTACTTTTTTTTTTCCTTCATTGATAGATAATAGATCACAAATATATAATGAACAATAGAAAAGCACAATAGTCTGGGTTTCCATTACGCAGTATCATCAGGTTACCTTAAAAAAAAAAAAGTTCATTGGAGCCAGAAAGGAAAGTGAGGGGGAAAACAAGAACTTGGAGTGGGGAAAACAATTTTAATAAGTGGGGTTAAAGGTTCAAGAGAGAGGGTGGCGCACTCGTAAATTCTTTGTAGAAAATGGCTTATTATTAAATGTGTTTGTTTGATAAAATTAAAGTGACTTGTGTCAAATAAAGAAGGTAGCATTCGTAAAAGAGTATGAAACATGAGTTGTATTTAGCCTCCTCTTATTTTACATTTTCTTCCGAGTGAACTGTATGCTCCCTTGGTGACAAATTTCTCACCAATCCAACTTCTGTTGTTCAAATTTTCAAGATCAACTACCTTGTCTTGGATAAGGTGGAAAAGATGGATATATGATTACCATCTTAAATGTCCAAAGTATGTCTCCTTATCCTTATAAGGTCTATAGCCTGTCGTACAATGCTATGACTTCTCCAAGAATTATCCTTTTACTTCTGCTCTCTCTCTCTTTCTCTCTGGAGTGTTCAAATCTTCTTTGGTTGAGAGCTTGATTCCTACATGCACAAGATCTATGTGCAACTAGCTATATTTTTTATGATGATTCTTAACTGAATCTCTTGAAATAGTTGAAAAGTAGATTTTTGAGTAAGTAGAACTACCTGCTCAACTATTTTTACACAGTAATTTATACCAAAGGAAAATCTTCTTTGTTTATAGATTACATTTGTTGGGATTTTAGGAATTTTTCAATCGTTAAGGTCTTTTTAATGCTGGCAAAAATTATTTCTTCTGAATTAACTATTTGCTCTGAATGCTTTTTGTTTTTGTTTTTGTTTTTTTGTTTTTATTTATTTTTTGTTTTTTTGTTTAAGATTTTGTTCTAAAATGATCCATATTAAATTTTATTTTTTAAAATATATGATGCAAGAATGGATGTACGGATAATGCAATAACAATTAAAAGTAATAAAGGAGGCTATGGTAAGAAACAAAATGCAGAGAGCATGCAAAAAGTAAAAAATTAAAGCAATAATGAAATACTATGTTAGGGACCTAATAGCTAGCTAGTTAATTTAGTGGCTTTGTCAGTTGTTTCTAGAATTTCTAGTCTTTTATTAGTGTAAATAGGAGGGTTTAGGGCTGGGGAGGGCTCGTGATGAGATTTGTAAAGAGTGTCTAGTGCTGTGTATTATTTTAGAGATAGGTGTATTATTTTAGAGATTATTCCATTCTATCGTGTACTTTTTTATTTTTAGTGTTTTTAATGATGTTAAGATTTTGGGTTAATCAGAGCAATAATGAAAATGATTGTTTTGAAATCCAATAAGGCTATATAGACTAGACAAGGATAAGGAGACAGACTTTGGATTGAGCATCGCGATTCCATCATGGTTGAGGTTGATTCTGTCCTGGTTTGGGCCGGGTCACGCGATTCCGGCATGATTAGAGCTGATTCCGGGGGAATTGAGGCTGATTCCGACAAAGTTAGCACTGGTCTGGGAATTCAAGCGCCGTTGGGGTCAATTGTGGTGCTTCGGTGACTGGGTCTTGCGATTTGGGGTTGGATCTTGGAATTCCAGCATAACAGAGGTTGGGGAGATTTACCACAAGAATTCAGGAGAAATTGGAGCTGGTTCCAAGAAAATTAGTGCGTTTGGGGTGGAGATGGGAGAAAGTGGCGTGAATGGAGTTGAAATTGAAGCTTTTGCAGATGGCAGCCCTATAATTCGTGCGATTGTTGTCCATAATCTGAAGTTTATGGGTTGGTCACTTTTGGGTTCATCATTCCAAGACCCATAGTTGCATTTGACGTTCCTAAATTTTCGCCAAGAAAAGCCAGAATTTCAGTCATTTGCAAAGCCAATGATTCATGGCCACAGCTACTTGAGTAACAATTACAGAAAGAAGGAACACCAGCAATCGTGAAAATAAAAGTGGAAACTAGTTTTGAGAATTCAATGTGGGCAATCCGTCAAGTCCTCAACGAAAACATGGAAATGGGAAGGAAATGGCGACATTCGGCTGCGATTACTTGACACCGGATAAGGTGTCTCTTTGGGGTGGGGGTCATGTCAGGGACCTCATAGCTAGTTAGTTCTGTGCCTTTGTCAGTTGTTTCTATTATTTCTAGTCTTTTAGTAGTAGAAATAGGGGCGTTTAGGACTAGGGAGGGCTCACGATGAGATTTTTGAAAAATATCTAGTGTTGTGCACTATTTTGCTGTCCATTCTATCTCATAATTTTTCATCTATAGTGTTGTCAGAAATGGTATGTTCAAATAAATTTGAAAATAAATGAAGAATTTCAAATAAATGCAATTGCTTTGTTTGATACATGAGCTGTCTCAATTGTATCAAAGAAGGAATTATTCTGAAAAAGTATTTTGAAAAAACCAGAGGACTAAGGTCCGTAAATGCAACGAAATTAAAAACTCAATACAACCATGCTTGAAATTGATCCCTTTTTATTTTTCACGTTTTTTGAGAAAAAAAATGAAAACGTTTCTAAAACGATGTTTGGCGCAATAAAGACAAAAAATAAAAATAAAAACAATTTTTTAGTTTAGTGTAAAATGAGAGAGAAATGAAAAATGACTTTTAATCGTTTTTTATTTTTTTTTTATTTTCTCCTCTCGCGAGTAAAGAAAGAGAGATAAATATTAATTAGTTTTTTTATACTGAAAATAATTTCTTGATAAAACTACCAATCGCATTTTCAAAAATGATTTCTATCTGAGATTGAAAACGTTTTCATTTTCATTTTCATATAAAAAAAAAATTATTTTGGAACGAGTTCTAAACACGCGCTTAAATGTTTGTATGAAAAAGAAAGATACTCCCTACAAGGCGTATTTTTTGTTAGGAAAAGATTTGAAGAGGGATATAATCCTTAGATCACCTCTTATTAACCTTTTGAAACCATTCATTGTAGATGAGCATGGATCAAAACGGTAAAATCAGGACAAGAAATTGTTTTTGAATTTGTTTCAAGAAATTATAGTTTGAAGCAGAACTAATTTGTAACAGAGAAACATTTGAAAAGCTGCATTCATGATTTTGCATCTGTTTGAATCTTTTTTTAGCGTGAAATTTTTTCAAATTTCGTAGCTTTTATTACAAGTTTTAAAAAAATTTAAATGTTTTCTCTTTTAAATTGAAACCTTTCAAGAATAACACCATGCCTCCAAATGCCAAGGAGAAAGGAAAAGTAGTTGCTCAAAAAGGATCAAAAGAGTCTTATGCTCTAAGCACAAAAAATAAGCCGTCGTTGTATGAATTAGTACTGAGTCCCAAAACCCAAAGAGGACGCTACCTCTAGCTCCTCTTCGAAAATTTCCAAAGAATTGATACCCCTAACTGTCTATAGAAGAATATGCAAAGGCCAATGACACAAAACCCGCATCCCATCCAGAAATTCATCCCGAATAAACAGAAGACAATTATTCAAACATCTTCTCAAGATCCTGCAAAATATATTGAAAAATCGAGGGATGTTTGGGAACAAGTTTTGCCAATTGAAAAAAATATATATATCATTTGGATAATCCTTGGCAGATTGCCCATAGGATTTTCCCAAAAGATTTTTTCTCTGTCCCAAAAGATGTTAGAAAACACAAAATTTTATGAATTCTTACTATTGGATTCGGATTCCATTTTTGTTAAAAATTTCTATGAAAATGGAAACGCTAGGGCCCCGTTAATTTAATCAATTCCAGTTTTGTTACAGTTAAAACTCTCACAAAAAGTCACATCTAACTTTTTCTGTTACAGTGAAAAACTCTCATATAAAATTACATCTCAACTCGAATCCGCAAACTGAACGAGGTATTGTAACTCATTCCACAGCACAAATTCTCAAAGTTCTGACACCATCCACTTGGGATAAGGATTTATCCTAACATAGAAAATTCTCGCGTGATTTTGATCCCATTGGTTACAACTATTGGGATTCTATGGATGGCATGGCGCTATGCCTTCCTTTATAAAAATTATAGGTACCAACACTCGTGGCTCTTCCATTTTTAAAAGAAGAGTTACTTTTGATCTCCCCCATTGGTTCTGCAACAGGTGTATAGTTATGCTCTTGTCCCTGATGTCCTTCCAGAACTTGTTCTTGATGGGTTCAAAATATTCTTGCAAAGATATCAGCCATCTTAAAAAGAAAAAGAAAATGGAATTCCTATTATGCTTTCTTTCTTTTCAAATTTCCATGTCTCGTTGATTACTATTGTGTGGGAAAATGTGACGGACACCTGGACGAACGATAATGCGACACGTGGTCTTAACTACTCCCCGCCAAGCAACAAACCTCGACGTCTACAGCTCTAAAGAGCCCAAGCACGAATTCCAACTTAGGACGATTCCTTCTGGCGTCGACAGATCATGTCGTCGAGCTTAAGGCACAAAGATCCCTCGACTGCAGAATCGACCACCACGAAGGACGATTGGGCTAAGCGTCGCTGGCAACGAGGGGAACGTTCTCTGGAGGACGTGGCAAGTTGCGTACAAAAGTGGGGGACGTCTGCAGGCATTAATTGTGAGCTCTTAAACCGCCCCACAGGGGACATGAGAGTGTTACAGGGACGCACAGAGCCGTAATAGAAAACTAATTGGCTGAATGAACAATGCTGATTAGTGGGCTACGTCTGGGCCTAAAAAGGGAGAGCACTTGAGTGCTTCTGCCTACGAGGGAAACCCACCCAGCGAAGGAAGCCCAGTATAAAAGAAGGGAGACCCCCTACGAGGAGGGGGTCGATACCCAAGAAGAGAAAAAATAGAGTGAGAGATAGCAATCGATGTAAATTGTAATCCCCTCAAAAAGAAATATACAACCACAGTGGATGTAGCTTTAATTTTACAGAGTGAACCACTATAAAACTTCTTGTCTTCGTTACTTATGCACATCTCAAACTATACATACCATACACCCCGAACAGTAAATTTTCACACATATTCAACATATAGGCCGGTAATCCAAAGGAAAACCAAGAAGTAACCTGGCCGGTTTTTGTTGACGAGAAATCACCGTCAACAATTACCTCTTGGGATCTCAGATTGATTGGAGGCTCACCATAAAACTCCCTACTCTGTATAGATTTTCAAGGTAAATAATATTTATATTTCCTGCTAAAAAGGCAGATTGAACGAGAAAAACAAGTTTCGTCCTCCAGATTCCTCCAGCAAAAGAGCATGTCAGCTGTAAGCATGTAACAGCAAAGAACAAAGAAGAATACAAGAATTTGCTAAAAGAAATTCTTTCGCAAATGGAGGCAGTTCTGACTATGCCTAGAATAATGAAGAAGTCCAAAGAAAATTCTGAGCACAGTTCTGACTATGCCTAGAATAATAAAGATGACTGTTTTGAAATCCAATAAAGCAGGATATGCTTAATTGGATCCAGAAAAATAAAAAGAAGAAAATTCAACCAAACTTGATGGAATCTTTATTGGAATAACAGAAATAAAGTGACAGAAGACCCTTATTGAAGAGCAATAATGAGAGACTAGGCGGACCTAGTTTTGCTGTTCATTCTGATGAAGACACTGTTAACCCTTTACTCTATAAATAGAGGCCAAAGTTTGAAGAAGAACACCAGAACAACACATTAGAATAACATTTCCGCTTCTCTCTAGCCACTCTCGAAGTCTCCCGACCTTCCTCCTTTCTCTTTTCTTTTCTTTTCCTTTTGTAATCCTTTTTCTTTGTCTTCCGCACTTCCCAAAAAAGTTGTAGAATAACTGCAAGTTAGAAAAAATTATAAGCTTCGCCTTGTGAAATTCTAGAATAATTTATAAGTTTTATTATTATCAATAATAAAGTTTGAGTATGATGTTTTTATTTTGTGAGTAGTTTTCTATATCCAGCTCTGTCCACCTCTAATCATGTAACCCTTACGATCCTCCCCACTTATATATATATATATATCTTAATCCTAATTTCGGTATTAAGAATAGTTTCTCGTATCCTCATGAGTCAGAAAATACTATGCTATTTTTTATGCTTGTATTAGGTCTATTTACTTTGTTTGTTAGAGTTATAGGAATTCCTTTATAGGAATTCCTTTCTTCAATCAATTCAATCAAGAAGGAATTCAGTTGGATATATTAACAAAATTATTAACTCCGTCTATAAACCTTTTATATTAAAATTAAAAAAAAAAAATTGATGGATTGAGATTGGTATGAATTTATAACACATGCAACTTTTTCAGTCAGTATAGCTTCTTTCGGAATCCTTATAGCATCGTTTTTATATAATCCTGGTTATTCATCATTACAAAATTTTAATTTACTTAATTCATTTGTTAAAGCTATTTTTAAGAAATTGAAAATTTTTTAGGATAGAATAATAAATGTGACATATAAATGGTCGTATAATCGGGGTTATATTGATTTTTTTATTCAACATTTTTAATTCACGGTATACGAATATTGTGGCTGCAGTATAAACAGTAGATAGCTTATGATTTCTTTCTCTTTCTTCGGGGTCATATTTTGCAGGGACACAGTGGCTTCATAGCAGGGTTGAGGTTCATGGTTATGAAGAATATAGTGGTACAGAATACCGCTCTGCTGGATGGTCAGAGGAATATAATGTCATTGAGTGAGTTGCTTTAATGATACACTGATTACATAAGAATACTTACTTGGGGCAGTAAAGATACCTTTTCAGCTAAATTTTTTAACATAAAAATCAACGCACGTATAGTGAGAACAATTAATGCATTGAGGTTGAGTTTTGGAGTATTAGAACAAATTTAAATTTGGACATTTGCGGTGCTTTGAATTGGAAAATACAATTCCGTTTTGTCTGCTACAGAGTAAATAAAATCGCAAAACAGCATTTGTTTGGTTAGCCTAGTGATACTTGTTCCAGAAATAATAATAATAATAAATACAAAAAGATTAATATCTTTTATATATACCTAAAATATTTTTTCGTGCAGACGAAATCTTGAGGATGCAGGAGAGGAGGAATTGCTTTCTTTAGAAGGTGACATTGGGGGCGGATTAGTCATACAGCGTCAGATACTTATTCCAAAGGATGATCCTGAAGCGTTGCAAATCGATTCTAGCATTGTGGCACAAAAAGTTGGTGCTGGTTCTGGTGGATTTTCAAGGTTTGCTTCATAAAACAGTTCATTCTTATATGTACTTGGATTTACTATTTAACAGCTACTGTCATCACTAGAGTCAATTCTATGAAATTGTTCACTCCCTGGGCGGTAATCCCCAATTTTTCCACATTTTTCTTTTCTTCTAAATCAATTTCAGATAACTTTTTCATCCCTCTGTGTTGCAGCAAGAACCCATCTATTCCCGTTCTTCTGACCTCTTCTAGTCAAAAGAGAATGAAATGCACTAGTAAACAACCTTTTTATAAAATATAAGGGTTCCATTTTATTTGATAATTATTGGTTTTAAATCCATCTAGATTGTCCCCCCGTTCCTCAACTCAACACCAGCCAAAAGCTAAAATAGCTATTATTGAAAGCGATTTGTAAGCTTTTGGGACTCTATGATAGTAGTGTAAATTGGTTTCTTAACTCTTAAGGGAAAAACATGATGGCATCCCCAATAATTTTCCTGTCACTTTTCCTCCCCTTAAGCTGCACATCTCATTTTTAACTGGACACCTTAAGCCAAGACAACTCAGACAAATCGATTTATGGACCAATGTTTTCCGCTAGCCAACAGCCACTAGGCAGTGAAGAAGAGTTGGTGTTGCCCACCCCTTTTTCAAATGCAACTACATATCAACAATCCCAGGTGTATTTTCTTCATATTCCTGGGAAAGCAACTTTCATTGGAGCATTTGTATGACATTGACTCCCACGTAATTTCCACTCTTTAGACACAAAAAGTAGTTTGTAGAAGTTCTTTGACCTCAAAAGTAGCATGAGAACCCAACCACCACAACCAAGACGTGAACAGAAGATCGTGAAAGTCTGGTGCCAAACTACATCGTTCAATGTCCTAGCTTTTCCCCTAAAAACAATTGACATCCCAGTGGCAAACTACGTCACTTTATCTTTAAGACAACTACAATACAAGCCTTCTTAGAGCTCCACCTTCTGAGACCACCAACCCCCCTCCCTCACCGCATATTTTTTTAAGCTTTAAAACTTCAAGTTATACTGTGAAGGGGAGGTGAAATCTATAGACGAACACATAGGCAATCTCTGTAACTACGAAATAAAATGTAATTCATTTTATGAAGGAAATTGCATCCCTCAATGCCTTCTTGTTTCTCTCTCTCTCTAGGAAAGATCTTTCTTTCTCTTTTGATTTGTTATCTCTTATCATATCATGTGCATATTTCATGCATTTTTTTTTTTCATTTTTTTATTATTTGGATGAATAAATGAAATAAACTTGTTTGTTGGTTGTAGATTGGTTTGCCTAAGAGTCCATCCGATGTTCACCCTCGTGCACCCTACAGAATCTTATGTCTCATTTACCTCCGTTGATGGGTCAAAGCATGAAATTTGGCCAGAGGCTGAGGAGCAATTTTATGAAGGGGATCTTCGTCCTAACGGTAAGTTACCAGTTTTCAAGATGTATAGTCATCATTGGAAACACTAGGTTTGGTCCTTCACAAAATATAGAGCTCAATTAAGAACTAAAAGACCAAAAAAAGGGCACGGTTTAGCTACTTCATTTTTATGTGCAGTCAAATTCTAGGTTGATCTTTTAGTATGTTTGGTAGGAGGGAGAGACGGAGGGAGGTAGAGAGATGGAGGGAGAGGTCTAATCTCTTGTTTGGTTTGAGGGAGAGGACGAGGGAGAGGAGAGGTGGAGGGTGTGCTCTCCCTCATGGCCCACCAAATTGGATCCTTCCATTGATGGAAGGATTCAAGCAATCCATCTACTTTTAACTTTAAAAGACTATTTACCTTCTTATTAAATTATTAACAAAAAGTTTAAATGGACAATATGGTAATTTAGTAAAGTCCTTTCAACTCCCCGTCCATCCTATCAAACAACATGAAGGATTGCTACAATCCTCTTCATCTTTCCTATTCCCCATCTATCCAACTCTCTCCATCCTTCCTACTCTCCATCCCCCTAACCAAACGGAACATTAGAATACTGTAAACCTCGTAAAATATCACCCAAAAAAAAAGTTCAAAAGCAGGTTCAAGTTGTATAAAATTGGTTATGACAATGTTGTATAGTTGTCGAGCGTAATCGTAAAGAGTTTCTTGATCGACTTGTACTAATATATTGGATAATAGGAACCTTAATATAATGTTTGTACTTTGAGAGTGCATTTAATGGTGCTCGATCAAGCATACCAAAACATCGTTTCAATAACTGATTCCACACTTTCAGTTCTAAGATAGTAAGACTAACAGCTTTATTTCCATATATCTTAAAATTGAAAAAAGTACATATATATGTATGCATATGTGTGTGTGTGTTTCAAGTTTGTAATTTTTTGTGATTGCCATCGAGATAATTTGTTGCCGAACCAATTGACTTATGTTGTCACTGCAGGTGAATGGATGCTCGTCGATAAATGTCAAGGTCTGGCACTAGTCAATCAATTCGACGTCCAACAGGTGTGCAAGTGCCTGATCCACTGGGGAACTGGTACAGTAAATTTAGAGTTGTGGTCCGAGGAGAGGCCCGTTTCAAAAGATTCACCTCTCAGAATCTCCCATCGTTACAGGGTGATTAAAATTACCTAGTTATTGTGTTTTCTGTACTTTCAACATTTCATGCGAGATTCCAAACTGCTAGATTGTGGCCAAGTTCCTCAGGAATGTGTATTGGCGATTGCGTTTGAATGGTCTTTGTAGTTGCAAATGTCGGAAACTCGAAGATTCTTAGTTATATGACTACTTTGAACCCTGGCAGCTTTTCGAAATCTCACTTCTTCCTTCAGTAACCCTTTACCTTCCAGGTCTAGTAATTCCTGTGAAATGATATAACCTAGCTACTTTATTCCATCCTATTTGAACTTTGAAGTTATATTTTGCTTAGTTCTAATAAAGGCTTATCTAACTTCTGGTGTTTTTAAGGCCACTAGCAAATGACATGCTAAACGTCGTATAAACCCGTTGTAACCAAAGGCCTGCATTCTCCCGCCCCCGTCTTTGTATAAAATCTAACTCATCAAACACTTTATATAACTGGAGCACAAATCAAAATCATTTCTATTGAAAGGTTAAATGGATTAACAATCATCGTATCAGCTTTTTGTGCTACTCAAGTTTCGTAAATTATTACACCACGAGTCGAAACCAGGACTTGAATGGAAGGCTTTTACATGAGCAAATACGGGTTCACACTGGAGGGGTTGGGTAGCGGATTGCAGGTTTAATTTCGTGTTGTATTAAAAAAATTGAAGAGCCTTTTTCAGTGATAATCAAGTGAAGCAGGAGAGTTCTTCTGCTCACGTGTACGTCTTGAAATTGTTTCATGTTAGGAAAGAATTACGGCTGTCTTGAAGTTGTTTCATGTTAGGAAAAATTACGGCTAAACCTAAGTTAGGAACGAAAAATAATCAACAAAAGTGAAAACAGAAATCAACACCAAGAATTTTATACAGATTTGCCAATTTAATTACGTCTTTTTTTGCTTTGGCAGATTCACTATATTGTTGAAGAAAATCAATACGAGAGAATCACTCAATAATGTTTCCCTCGGCCTCTTACTCTAATTTTCTCCCTGAAAATCATCACACTTAAAAACCCCTAACTATAGGTATTTATACTTTAAAGAAAATAAGAGAAAAACTCAAAATGTCAAACTTATCAAAAATAATTTTCTAAAATGTCAAGGTACCTACATGAAATTATCAAAAATACAGGATATTAAATATACATTTCGATATAACATAGGGTACTAAAATGAAATTTTTCTTGTTATAATTGTTATTATTGTTGTAGCTTTTGTTATTAAGGAACTATAGCTATTCTTTTTATTATGGAAGGCTTTCGTTGTTTTTTAATGGCAGGTATACTTCCTTTTTTTCTTGGTGATTTTCTTTTTATGTTTGATACGTAATGGAATTTTCCTTTCTCAGAAAACCTCCCACAAACCCTTGTTTGGTTCAAGGAGTCAAGTGGTTTGAACTCATGAATATAGTTCAAATGTCATATTAATAGCTCTCATTGTTTTAATCGTTAGATATTGATCAGACGGCTACAATAAATTGGGATTTTTTTTGTTAGAAATTAGGTAGTTGACAAAAAAATTTGTTGTCATTAAGGAGATTAGATTCTAATCACATGCCATGTCATCAAATTTATTGGTGAGGGAGGGGAGAAGGTGTTTGTCATTTGATATTTTATAATTCCAATTTTTAGTAAACATGAAAATTACCTACTTGACTTGATGGTTTATCTTTGATTGACTTGATAACAACTTTTTTTTTTTTTTTGAAAATTGTAATTGCATTTCAAATCGAAGAAATACATACATCAATTCAAACGTGAATAACCCTAACACACTAAGCGTCTCAATCCCCATCACAAACCAGAACTACCAGTAAGTTTGACTGAAACTTTCAAGGAGCGATACATGTAAATTTAAAGAGGCACACAACTATTCAAGCATACAAATAACTCTTTTAAACACACCACTATAGTCATTTGATAACTCACTATAGTCATTTGATAACTCCAATTGTTGAGATCAACAGACTGAAAGCACCAAGGCCTACCATACTGCAAAGCAAAATGACTTGGGGAATAGACATAAGACTATACCAAAAAGTGGGGAGAGCACATTTATTATTATTATGAGAGAAAACTAACAAAGTGGTAGAAACACACTAAACCTAAATGACGGAAATATCAATGTTTTTGTTTGACAAACACAAAAATTAAAACGAAAAAGTAAAACCCAAATGACACTAGAGAAGATACTGATCCGTTCGGTGTCATTTGGACTTTGCCTTTTTGTTTTAATTTTTGTATTTTCCAAATAAAGACGTTCATTTTTTAATGAGGAAAGGAGATAATTGACAGATACGACTTAGAATGTATGGATTCAGATTTTTACCCTACTTTTGATTAATATTTTTTAGTTAAATAATTATATTAGTCAAAAGAAATAATTAATCCAGAGTAAGGGTTATATATCTAGACCCATATACTTTGAGGGTAAGTCAGTAATTTTCTTTTTTTAAATTTTGGTTAAGGTTGTAAACGTTTTGATCAATTGTGTTTATGTACATAATCCTTATTAACTATACTAAAGTACTTATTGAGAAAAAATACTACTTATACACTAAAAAAACTTATAAACTGCACTCCAATCATTGCATTGAGCTTAGGAATAAATGTAATGATGTTCTTTGAGACATTTTGACTATTAATAAAGATTTATTTATTTCATATATCTATGTATTGTCCTTGTTATTTTCATATTAATTGAATGTATGATAAGTAAACTGAAAGTTTGAGACTGTCATTCTAAATCTTTAGTCATGCATGTAATGAGAAGAACATGCGGAAGACAGGAATCTAAAGATAATAGTCTAAAACATATGATCCACAATCGAGGGAATAAAGTTAGGCGCTTTATTCATGTTAAGATTGTTATGTTATCTACTTCCTGATGGAGACGGCTTGTCTTGGTCGTCGGGGGGGTGACTCAATGGGTAGAGACATTGATATAGTTTCTAGTGGTGAAATTTATATTGGGTCGGACCAAAGTTGAATTGTTTTAATTAATAATTCCGTTTGAATAAAACAATTCACTTTTGACGAATTATATGTTGTCATCTTAATCCTGAGATGGGTAATGAACCCGTATACTTGACTTGTATCTTTTGATGTACCAAAGGAAGACATCCTGATATTATGTAAATGTACGTTTACACATTGGGGGTATGACTCGTGTATGCGTAAATTCGTTATTCATAGATAGTGGAATCCATAGCTCATACAAAGAGTGAATGATATCCTCTTATGTATTATCTGTGGATTGAAAAATACGAGCGCTCGGCCATTAGACAACTCTGTGTTATCTAATGGTTTACTATTTATAATGGTATGAATAGTGGTTTTCTGATGGAGCAGTAATGGAAATAAGATAAATGTAATCGGGAAGGTAATATGGAACTTGACCTTAAGTCGATTATGGATATCCTATGGTGATGATACACTAATATATTGAGTCATGAACGAGAGCTATTCAGAGCTTTGTAAATACGCTATATAAATCGAGAGTGCAGCTCTAGGCTTTTAGTGGAGTAGCGCTAGAGTTTTATAATCATGAGACGGGCTTGTTGGTTTACAAGTAGTGTTGTGACTATAGGAGATTGATTTATATATGTCCATCGGGTTCCTTTTCTAGCTCATATAATTTCCTGTAACGATACGGTGTATTTCCTACATATTGGTAACTTGTGTTATTTCTGTAAAAAGAGGTTCAAAGTTAATATGAGATTGGTTAACTAATTCATAAGTGATTTATCGGGTGAATTAACTGATAAATTGGTTGAATTATTGTTTTAAGAGTTGTTTAATATGGGAAGACTATTATATGACTGTTTTGATCAGGCAACTTCTCTATTGGGTTGCTTGAATCAAAATTGAGGCTCGGTGCAAGTTTTCCATGTTAGAAAACTAGGAAAACAAGTTCGCTAGTTCAGACAGGTCGACCAGTTCATGAAGGACTCGTCGACCGGTGAGTTATAATGTCTCTGTCACTGGTCGACCGGTTGTAACGCGTAGCACATGCTGACGTGGCGAAACCGACTCTGTAAGTGAGATAAACTTTAAAAAACCTAATTGTTATGAAAATATGACTTCTAAAACACTATAAATAGCTCATTAAGTCACATTATTCATTAGATCACTTCAGATACTTTTTGGGGGCTATTGACAAAAGATTCCTGAGAGAAAAATTTGTTTAATTCTCAAGAACGATTTTTCCTTTAGCTTTCTTGTAGTTGGAAGGAGTTCAAGAATATCAAGAGAAAATTGAACGACGTATGTCCACCCACACTCCGATCGTGAAAACGAGAATAGCAAAGAATATCAGTTGGTTGAGGCTCTTTCGGTTGCTATTTGGAACGCTTGGATCTGTCAGACGTGTCGTTTCCTAAATCTCTAAAGGTATGATTAAGATCTTTAGTATTTATGTTATATAACAACATGAACATGTTCTTAGTTGGCTTTGGCATTGATTTAAATTTTTTAAAATTTCACTGCGCACTCGATGTCGTTTCTTACAACATGCATTTCTAACTCATAATTACATTGTTGTGAAGATATGTGTAGAATATGCGATAGCCTATAATTGATATGATTTATGCCGTATATTTTTTATGGAGCTTCCAAATATCAATAGCAATATAGTTGTATAGATAAAAAGATAGGTGTTGATAGAAGTACTGAAGATTCTCATTTTCAGAATTAAGTATCACGTACTACAGATCGTATCCATTGATATTGATATCGACAAGGTAATGAATTCAAAAAAAAAAAACGCTTGCATAATATCTGAAAATGTTAGAAAATATCTCATCTTATTCTAAAAAATATGTATATATTGCTGAACAAATTGAAGTATATTTTACCCTTTATGGTCATTACATGAGTTACGAAAAACGAAGGATTCGAATATTATTGGAGGAAATACTAATAGAAATATTGATAGTTTACTTCCTTGAATAGGATATATGATAGGTTAGATTTGTGCTTATAATTTCGTTACCTCTAATTTGTTATTTTGTTAGCTTTTAGGAGCTATTTGCTTGCTTTTAGTTTATTTTGTATGTTTGTGTCAATTAGATTTCGTGACTCGTTGGTTAATTTTGAAGACTTTTTAAACCAAAATTTAATGAGGGGCGCTGTAACGCTATTAGAGGAGTGCCGGGCGCCAAAACGAGTCAAAAATG